TGATGTAGGCATCTTTGCCCAACCTCATTAAATCTCTGCGTGTTCTTCGGGATTTGTGTCGATTCATATTTTTCTTCGTCTTAATTTTCTCAACATGTATGTAGTTTTACGAGTATTTGAATTCCTTAATGACATTGAAATTAAGCAATCTTAGACTTGTTGGATTCGTCTCATCAAGACACTTTATTTGATTGTTATTTTCCATATTTGGAGATCATTTGATCCCCCAAAGATTCTTCCAAAGCTTCTCTTATGTTTTAAGTGCATTATGCGGGCTCACTCGTACTTGCATCAAATTATTTTAATGTCGTTTGGTTTGTTTTCTTGAGATATGATAAAAAATTAGAAAGTGGGAATTTTCAAGTTTGATTTTTGAAACTTTCGTTCGAAATGTGTGTTCAAATCCATGTGGATCAATATAGTTTTTTAGAGAGTTATTAACTGTTATATTTATTTTAGGTAGAATATGACGATGAATTAATTAATCAATTAAAATATTAAACTTTATTAATCCTAAACAAAATGTAACTTTATTAAACTAATCTTATTAAACTTAGATTAAGGTAAGACGAACCAATTTTTTATCCGTTGGACTATGAGGATTTAGTTGATTTAATTGATAAATAGTAAAATTTAAAGGAACGTTTTACATACATACTTGTACACAAAAGAAGTATCAACATGAATCTCAAAGAAATTCAATGAACAATAGATACAAATGAACATAGTACAATGGGCCCCCATTAGTAGAAGACCAAGAGCTTGCGTGTGGAAGACCAAAGGTCCCTCAATGAAAACCAAGGGTTCAATGCCAAAATACTAAACGTCCACCTGCAGGACACTAGAAGACTTAGCGTCCTCCAGCGACACACCAGAAGACTTGTTTGGTAAGGAGTAACTCCTTTTAGCTGGAGGTGAAGGTCAGTCGAACGAGAGTTGCTTGAATCAAAACTCGTTGAGCCGATTAGGGGCATCGATTTGCCTCCCTTCATGACCATTTTCAAGAAAAAGATATAACATCTCTAGCTATCTCAACAAACATTTATGAGACTCCACATACAGGCTCAAAAGCTCGCCATAAGACACTCAACAGAACATCCTGAAAGATATCTCTTATTGAGTAGTAAGCTACCCATCGTAACATGGTAATTTACCCTATGTCTGATAGTCTAGTTTTATTCCATCGACAAGATTTCCTCATACAAAAATCCACAATCGAGTGCTAGCCCGGGGCAACCGACCGACTAAATTAAGTCAAACGAGTTAAGTTATGTCAACTTAAAGACCTATTGAAGGCCTACCGGTGACCCAAATTCCCAACAATCAAACGAGCGAACCCTGTCGAACCAAGGTCCATTATCTCCGGGACAATGAACCATATGGCACATGAGCTAAGAATTTATACATGTAGAATATCCAAAATGTCGTTGTAACGCCCCATTAAAGTAAGGGTAGACTTGTAATGTCTCATATTGTATCCCCTCCTCTATAAATTGGGGAATCATTTTATGAAAAAATCTTTTATGTTAACCGCTCAGTCATGTGTGTCTCTCTCTCTCTTTCCTGTCATATGCTCAATTCATTGGCGTGATTCAGAGGACCATCTCAAATCCAACAATACCACTCAATTCTTATGAACTTACCTATTTAACACCCAAATTATGTATTTTTACATTTATACCATAAATCAATCACATCAAAATTTTAAATATTAAAAAGTGAAATATACATGTTTACAAATACATAGATAAAATAAAACATATGTAAAATTTGACGGCTATAGACATTATATTCAATAATATACAGCAATTCAGTTATATTTATCTAATTCTTCCAAATCTAAAACATCAATATTACATCTCCACTCTATCATTTAATTTTCATTTACAGAACAAAAAAATATTCAGGGGCCAATATGCAAAACCACAAGAAGCCCTTTAGATTCCTAGCCCCAGGCGGGTCAATTTATCAGCAAAATGACAAATATATCCCCATTAATTTATTCATCCCGGTAAGCATTTCCGGAAACCTTCTTATCTCAAGGAAGCCTCTTTTCCTCATTTTATTCATAAAAAAATATTCGGACTCGTACGCCAAATTAGGAAATATATCGAGTTGATGTACGTGCTCATCCCCACATCGGTTAAAGCCGGTGGACCGGGCCATCGAAAAACTCAGCTTCTTCTATATTTGCAATTATACCCACATGTCAGACTTTAAAATTTATCAAATTAATTATATTCGAAATTCATACTTCAGAAAGCCTGATTATCTAAACTTATATAAAAAGCGACGCGATTGAAATTTAATTTGATTTAAAAAATTAAATTATGAAAAAAAATCAAAATTTAATTTTTTATTTAAATTTAGCTAATAACAAACATTACAAATCACATATATTATTTTCATGATATTGATTTAATTTTATGAATTTTTTATTTATTTCAATAAATTATTATGTATAATCTTTATTTTTGATATTTTTTTAAAATTTATTTTACATGAATTTAAGATATAATAAAAAATTTTTAATAAAATTTACAAAATTTTAAAAATTAAAAAGTGAAATTCCAATTTTGTTCGGGTTTTTGAATTTGATGGAATAATGAACACCCAGTAACATATATCGCGCGGCGTAGTGGCAAAATCCGTAAAATAATGAATAAGTAAGGGGAATAATTTCCCATGCGATCGTGGGGCATGATAATATGTTCTGCCGCTTCTCGTGCTCTGTACGGACAAATCGCAGAGCCAATAACGATTAGACACAAGGTGGGCCTTACAGCGAGCCAATGAAAAATCAACAGCACAAGGCAGAAAACCATACTGGTTTTGCAAAACAGCCCATCAGCTCCGATCTCAGCTTTATATGCCCTGTGCCCGGTGCACATATATCTCTATATATATTCCCCCCCGCCGTGGCCATCTTCACAGCCACATTTCTCCATTGCAGTTCGGCTCTTAGGGTTCTAAGGAGCACGGAGAGAGATGAGGAGGGGAAGAGTTCAGCTGAAGAGGATCGAGAACAAGATAAACAGGCAGGTGACGTTCTCGAAGAGGCGATCGGGGTTGCTCAAGAAGGCCCACGAGATATCCGTCCTCTGCGACGCCGAGGTGGCGCTCGTCATTTTCTCCGCGAAGGGGAAGCTCTATGAGTACTCCACCGACTCCTGGTACCACGCTGATCCTATTTGTAGTTAGTTATTATTTAATTAATCTGTATCGCGGTTGTTTCTATTGATTGTCCTTTGGTGTGTGGTGTTTTTAATTCGTACGACTGATTGGAGAAGGAGGGAATAAGTTATCGATTGACGCGTTGATTGAAATAGAATCGATGGGGGGATGAATTCGTGAGTTTGTTTTGATTTTTCGATTTATTTCCTGCTGTTTTTGATCTTCGGCGCTTTTTGATTGTTTAGTTTCGAGCTGTTATAGTGTGGATTAAAATTACTACGTGAAAGAATTATATATTTTATCTATTATGCTCGATGCTGCGCGGGCTGCGCGTACGAATTTCAGTTTATTTCGCCGCTTGCTGTCGGTCTATGTCTGGTCATTTGCGATGTCGCATGATTACTTCGGGGTGGTGGGTTTTTTGTTTGATATAATTATTAGCCTATATCAAGAGCATGTGATTTAGGCGTCATTTGGGTAGGCTTTATTTATGGGTGAAGTCCTGCCAATGTCATCCGCGGCTCTTTTCGAAGATATTATGAACAGTAGTGATTTATCTACAGCTTGGTTGGCAAAAATGGGGATGTGATGTTTGGCCAAATATGAAAAATTTCAGGGTTAAGTCGAGAAAAACAATTTTTTTGAAAGGGCATACTGAAAGTACTATATTTAAGGGGTGTTTGGTAGGTGGGTTTAAGGCGGGATTTATGGTGTATTTTACACGTGTATTTAGCAAAAATCCTGCCAAATATGAAAGACAGTGATCTAAATCCTACGCCCCTAAATTTAAATTTTTGGGATACCATAACATTAAACCTGGAGATTAATGAATTTAAGAGACTTAAAGAGGTATCCATATAGCCGCTTCTAGAATTTGTCAAACACATTAGAAGAATTTAATGGAATTTAGTGATAACTGAAAACAATAAAAATAACAATGAGTTTTTATCCTTTTTAAGTGGGGTCGACAATTGAAAGAAAAAATAATTGCAGCTAAACACTCCATTAGGGTGCACTATACAAAATGACTTGAAAAATAAGGGAGTTTTGAAATGTGAAGGGAAATTAATACACAGAGCAGTCACGTGCCCAGCTTGCTTCCCCCCTGATACTCTACCTTAGGCTTTTGCTTGTGATTTTGTTCTTTTGAATGCAATGGTCTATTTGATTTGTTTTAGCACTTTGCCCGGTAACGGGCTCAACTTTGCGATGTTACATCATTACGGATTATCATGTTGGATATCTTCTGCCATGAATACATTTTCAGAGGAAATATCCTATTGAATAGTGACTTGTATCTCTATTAATATCTCTTGCAGAAAAAAAAAAATCCTATATTTTGAATCCTTTTAAGACGAAGGATCTCATATTGAATACACACAACCTGAAAAAAAATCTTGTATTTTAGGAAAAATAAAAGGGAGAGGGAGATGGATGGGAGCATTTTTAGAAAACCTTAGAAAATATAAATTCCAATCTCTGGTATATCAGAGGGAGGCAGTCCCTCAAAAGCCTTTCAAGATGTGAATTCTTTTAAGACTTAAGGTCTCATATCGTTCGTAAGTGCATAAAACTAAGGTTGTCAAAAAAAATTAGTGTTTAGCTCATTAAATAGATTATGTTTGATTCATTCGTTATGCAAGTGAGCCAAACTTGAATAATTTGTTTGAGATTCAAACGTGAATATAAGTTTGTTTATTCGTTTGTGTTCAACTCATTTTAGCTCGGACCCGATTTAAAAATGATTCAAATGTGAATATAAGTTTATTCGTTTGTGTTCAACTCATTTTAGCTCGGAATAATTAAATACTAGTTTTTAATTACATTTTTTTTATATCAATTTTTATATGCATAAAAAATACTAAATTTTATTATTTTTAAAAATTATTTGGATGATATAATTATAAAATATAGTTATATATGTAAATACATAGAATTTGGTTGATAGCTATGTGAATGTCCCAAAAACACCTCCAAATAAATACCATCAAGTGCTTTCCTATAAAGTATTGAGAGATAAATATGTACATAAATATATATTAGGTAGTATATATGTAAATATCTCTGGCCTATAATTTAGTCCAACACGAGGCTGTTGGAAACTAGCAAAATTGAGAAGCTACTTAAATATTTGGAAGTGGTTTTGTTGTAAAGTTGTAAATAGGGCTCTAAATAAACTAATGCACTCGATGTAAATGGGGTGGTAAATGAACTAATGCACTCGATGAACAACTCAGACTTAGCTTGATTAAAACTCGATCATGTTCGTTCAAATCAATAAATAAACAAACTTTAATAATTTTTAAAAACTTAAATTTAAATGAACTAAATATGAACATAGTCAAATTTATTCATTTATGTGTTTGAACAAACTCGATTGTTGTTTAACAGATAATTAATTTAAATGAATTAAATATGAACATAGTCAAATTTATTCATTTATGTATTTGAACAAACTCGATTGTTGTTTAACAGATAATTAATTAAATATTTGATATTAAGCTCGACAGCTTCTATCGTATATCATATATTATTTAACAAAAAAAAATAATTAACTAGAATTTATTTAAATAGATTAAATAATAATATATTATTATGTCAATAATATTTTTTTAAATTAATTATTAATTACATATGTATTTTATTAAAGTTTAGGTGCCAGATGTGAAAATAAATAAGTCCTATGTGGCATGTACCAAGTGGCCCTTAAAATTAACTTTGAAATCGTTTTATGTTTTTTTATTTTATTTTTAATTTGTTTCATTTTTGTTTTTATTTAATTATCTGTTTTCTATTTTTAGTTAGAAAATGTGTTTAGTGATGTTATGATTAATATGTTTTAAAAATATAAATTATAAAATATATTTAGTTGGAGCAGCGACAACAGGCGGGTGGGCTGCGACGCGTAACGGACGGCGGGCAGCGTTAGGGGACGGGCAACGAGAGGCCGGCGACGGGCAAGCGAGGACGGGCGACAGTGACTGCAGGCAACGCAGGCGACGGCCTTGACAGGCTGCGAGCGGGGGGAC